GTAGGCAACGACGACTCAAATATTGCAACTGCAGTCAATGTTAAAATTGTGCCTTGTCAATGGGCAAAATTGTTTTACTGCCCAGACCTGCACGGGTCCTTTTTTGTTTGTTTGATTGTTGTTTTAATGTGTTGCCCTTTTCTGTCTTGCTGTTTTGTTTATTTCTTCCCTTCTTTATGCCATTTTGTCTTTCTTTCATTTTCCCCTTTTTTCAATCTTTTTGTTGCGGTTTTCTTTTCTGTCATTGTTTCTTTCTGCTTCGCTTTTTTTCTTGTGCTTTTCCCCCCGGTGTCTCTTTTAAAACTGTCCTTGTTTCTCTTATTTTATTCTTTGTTTCTTTCTTACTTTCTTTACCTTTTCAGTTTCCTTCTCAGTTTTTTTTGTTTTTCTTTCTTTCTTTTTTCTTGCTTGCTTTCCTCTTCTCTATTGATTTATTAGAGAAATAAGGATAAATTATTCAAATCAATAATAATAATAATAATAATAATATCTAGGGGGAAAAGGTGCACATTTTGTTTGTAAAAATTGTTCAGTAAAACAAGCCACATTTCTACCCTTTATTCCTGTATCATGAATATGAATGTTACAACATTTGTATACTATATACAATATTTCATATCTCAGGAAATGTAATAATTGATGTCTTTCAAATGGTGATCATTACAATTTGGAGAAACCTGTTGCAACGCCACAACGCGGATGAAAAATGTGCTATTGAATTTATTTATTTTTATTTTTTGTCTCCCGTTTGCTTGGTGCCACCCTCACAGTGGTGCGTAACCCGCCGGGCTGGGAGGTGGGCATCTACCTGGTGGGCTTTGTGGTGCTGCTGGCCGCCGCGGGACTGAACATCTGGAAGCTGTGGAGGTCCGGCGCCTTCCCTGCACCGTCACCCTTTCCCAACTTTGACTACAGATATCTGCAGGAAAAATACGGAACCTCCTTCTCTGAAGTACGACAAAAGGTAGGCTAACCGCTCACCTTGGAATATGATCATTTGGGTCCCAATCAACATATTTACACAACAAATTGCCAAGTTCTTATTTGGCTAGAGTCTAGCCAAAAGATTAGCCGCTAGACTTTGTATGCAGGAGAAAGTCCTTAAAAAAAAAAAAAAAAAAAAAAAAGCCAACTAATGTAGTGCTTTAATGGCTTAATTCTTGTTCAAATGTAGTAAGATTTGACCAAAATAATTTTCGGCATCATCGTGGTGTATGAAGATTCTGGTTTTCAATCTTGGTTTCTTCCTTCTTTGTATTCATAAACTACCAAAGTTTTTTTGGGACTATTAAGTCGCTCCAGAGTAGTTGCACCAGTCTGTTAGCATGTATCAGTCGCACTGGACTAAAAGTCGCATTTTTCGAAAGAAATTTAAATCTGCGACCAAGAACAGTAGAGGTCAGATTCAAATCCGCGTTTCCTAATCATGTCGACGGCAACGAATGAGTTCCGGGTGGAGCTGAAACTTCCACTTCAGAAAAGTTTTCCTTTTTAGTTTAAAATGCCTTCCCTTAAGTAGAGTGCAACACCGCATTGTGGTCAAAGGAAGAATCCCGGTCGGTTACTGTGCTCTTTGATACTGAAAAGAGGAAATGTTTGTGGCAGATGCAGCATGGGAAACTAGCGAACGAGCATACGTCACAGTTGCCGTGACGACTTCTTCATTTTCTTTTTTCATTTCTTCCTCAACTTTCTTTTGGCCGTTGACAAAGAACTTTTGGTGCATTAGCACCACCTTCACCTTAAGCTACTTTAGACTTATAAGAAAACCTTTTTCTGTTGAAGCAGAAGATTCTAATCCAACTGAAACCTGTCCGCGGTTGTCAACCCGATGTGGGAACAGGGATCTGGAGTGCGAATCTGAGCCCAAATTTGAATAAATCTAAGTTGCACCTGGATATAAGTCCCAGCCAAACAAAGAAAAAAAAAAGTGTGATGCAGAAAAATATCATTTGCCGGGACGTTCGGAATGGGGCGGGAAGCATGAAAGAAATTGCTTCGAAGGGCATGTTAAGGATTGAGTCTGATTTCAAAGTGTGTTTCCTGTGAAGCGGGTCGCAGCCAACAACCACCGCAGGATGTCGACGGCGTCCAGCCGCAAGCCCAGCCTGGGCCTGGGCGACACCCCGGACGCCCTCAGGGAGCTGGGACAGCTGGAGCTGATGGGCCGGGACCTGGACCTGAGCGGCGCGGTCCAACTCAACCGCTCCGTCTCCACCGACTCGCTGAGCTCCATCTCGTCCGTGGCCAACAACTTTGGCCACGACTTCACGGTGGGCCAGCTGGAGGTGACGTTGGAGTTTGAGCCCGCCCGGCATGCCGGCCAGGGGACGCTGCACATTACCGCTCATCAGGGAAAGGACCTGCTGGAGAGGGAGGAGGGAGACTTTCCGGGATGCTTTATCAGGATCTCCTTGGGGCCGGAAGAGCTCAACGTGGGAGTCACCAGGGTAAGATGATGACGATCACTCTCGTGTTACGTTATCTCCACTGTCTCTTAAATCCAATTGCTCTCAAGTGTGGAATTATTTTAAGAGCCGCTTGAGCGTAACGTCTGCACTACCCTCAGGCACCACCAGGTGCTAGTTTGAAATTATTTATGAAGGCAAAGGGACGAAAGACGACCGTCGTGTTTTGTTCGCTGCAGGCCGCCACGTCCTGCCAGAGCGTTGCGTAAACAAAGCCGAAGCAAGAACCACAACACAGTTGAAATTGCATCAGCCCAAGCATTTCCGTTGCTAAAACATCCACTCATTTGCTGCTGCCTAAGCAAGAATCTCATTCATTTTAAAAAGGATCACAAGGCATCAACCCAAAAAGTAGCTCAGGTCGAGAGTTAATCTGATTTTCAGTCGAGCGCTCCAGCGGCCACATCTGAGTCTGATTTCAAAGTGTGTTTCCTGTGAAGCGGGTCGCAGCCAACAACCACCGCAGGATGTCGACGGCGTCCAGCCGCAAGCCCAGCCTGGGCCTGGGCGACACCCCGGACGCCCTCAGGGAGCTGGGACAGCTGGAGCTGATGGGCCGGGACCTGGACCTGAGCGGCGCGGTCCAACTCAACCGCTCCGTCTCCACCGACTCGCTGAGCTCCATCTCGTCCGTGGCCAACAACTTTGGCCACGACTTCACGGTGGGCCAGCTGGAGGTGACGTTGGAGTTTGAGCCCGCCCGGCATGCCGGCCAGGGGACGCTGCACATTACCGCTCATCAGGGAAAGGACCTGCTGGAGAGGGAGGAGGGAGACTTTCCGGGATGCTTTATCAGGATCTCCTTGGGGCCGGAAGAGCTCAACGTGGGAGTCACCAGGGTAAGATGATGACGATCACTCTCGTGTTACGTTATCTCCACTGTCTCTTAAATCCAATTGCTCTCAAGTGTGGAATTATTTTAAGAGCCGCTTGAGCGTAACGTCTGCACTACCCTCAGGCACCACCAGGTGCTAGTTTGAAATTATTTATGAAGGCAAAGGGACGAAAGACGACCGTCGTGTTTTGTTCGCTGTAGGCCGCTACGTCCTGCAAGAGCGGTGCGTAAAGTAGCTCAGGTCGAGAGTTAATCTGATTTTCAGTCGAGCGCTCCAGCGGCCACATCTCGACAAAGACAGAAAATGCCGACATCAGCTAACGTCTCTTGCTCCGCCCGTGTTTTGTTCGCTGTAGGCCGCTACGTCCTGCAAGAGCGGTGCGTAAAGTAGCTCAGGTCGAGAGTTAATCTGATTTTCAGTCGAGCGCTCCAGCGGCCACATCTCGACAAAGACACAAAATGCCGACATCAGCTAACGTCTCAGCTCCGCCTTCATTTTATTTTTGATTATAATCATCATGCGTATGCTGCATCTCCGTCTTGGCGGCCACACTTGCTGTTTTTTTTTTTGCCCCCCCCAACCGTGCACCGCCTCTTTTGTTTCTCATCCCCTACGCTCATTTTTACACTCATCTTCCTCACAGCTCATCAGTTAGCTGTCACTTCCTTCCTGCGCGCTCATTTTGACTCGCAAACCTTCCTCCGCACGCACACGGTTGCATTCTGCTTTGCACGCTGGATCAGCCTTTTGTGCACAGTTCGGGATAAATAAATAGGAGGCAAAGTCCAAGGCCGAGCCCCGTGCGGGCTCATTTGTCCAGCGTTGTGTTCTGAATTCCTGGTGCCTCCATGCTCCCACTCATCCATAAAATCAATAAGAGCCCTCAGGTGGTCTTGCATTCGAGGCGCTCTTCTTTGTCCGCGTGTGGACGAAAACATTGGCTTTTTGCTCTGGGGTGAGATCAGATGCTAAAATTACATCCTCATACAACCCCCCAAGAGTGTTACTTGTTGCCTGGTAACCTGCATTGCTCATTTTTATTTCTCATCACACGGTTGCATCCGAGGGCGGAAAATCAGTTGCAAGCCAAATGACCACAGTGATCATGTTCTGTTTTGTTTTAAGATAAAATAAAATATCAAGTACTGTCGTGATTTTGAGTCGTCTTGAACATAACATGGCCAGAGTGGCTGAGATCAAATCATATTTCTTTTCACACATGTATAACTACATGTCGAAGCAAGATACTGTATATCACAATAGCCTTTGCTGAAGGTAATTGAAGTCAAAGATTGAACATGGCCAGAGTGGCTGGGATCAAATCATATTTCTTTTCACACATGTGAAACTATTCAGTACATGTCGAAGCAAGATACTGTACATCACAATAGCATTTGCTGAAGGTAACTGAAGTCAAAGATATACCCAGAGTTTTATTCAATAGAGGGAGTCACGACCTCACCTGCATCATGAAGGGAAAAAATAAATATAATAATGGTTGAGTAAAATTATGTTCTATATCTTTTCTCTATTCTTTGCTTTGGAATCCAATCATGATTTCATCGTCAAAAATGATGACTTTGTGTGTTTCCCGTTCCGAAATCAATTAAGTCTATCGTCTGTTTTCCCATTTTCTTTTTCTTCTTTTTTCCTTTTTTTTCATTTTTTGAGATTGATGTTAATAACCTATATTATTGTCGAAACAAACTGGAATAACTACTACTTTGTTATCTGTATCGTCCAAAACTTGAATATGAAGTCCTTGAAGTGAAAAATAGTTTCACAAAATAAAATGCTACGTTAACGTTGACCTGTGGGTGGCAGTAGCACGCCCAGAGGAGTCTACACTGGCGGAAATGGAAAAAAAAAGAAGAAGAAAGCTAGCTGCAGGCAGCATGGCTCCAAAGCTAAACATGGAAGAAGATATTATATACACGCTTAAAAACTTCTCCAACCTGGACTACCAAACCCAACTGGATTTAATCGACCAAGGAAGGCCGATGCCGGAGATTCGAGACGTGCTTCCGAAATCGTCTCGCTCATTTCGAACCGAGTGGTACGCGCGGAAGGACTGGCTGTGCGGCTGCCCCGCACGAAGTCGCCTCTTCTGCTTCCCTTGCTTGCTCTTTTCCACCCGTGACAGCGTGTGGACACAAAATGGATATTGTGACATGAAAAACCTACAGAGAAGCCTTGGCAAACACGAAAGATCCACTTCTCACATCCAAAGCCAGATCGCCTTGAAAACATTCGGCACATCGATGATAGATTCGGCTGCGGACGAGCAGCGCAGACTTGCCGTGAGCATCCACAACGCCAAGGTAAAAGAAAACCGAGAGATTTTGAAGCACCTCATCGACGCGACCTGTTTCCTCGCCAAACAGGGGCTGCCGTTCGGCGGAAACTTTGTGGAGCTCGTACGAGCTTTCGCCGAGAACGATGACAATTTAGCGAGGCATTTGGAAACGCCGACCGCGTTCTCCGGCACGTCGGACGCAATCCAGAAGGATTTAATCGAAGCAGTCGCTGACGTCATTCGAAGCGACATTAAAAAGGAGATTGAAGCGGCTCCGTTTGTTGCCTTGGAAGTCGGCGAGACGACAGATGACACGAACGAGGCGCAAATATTTGCGGTGTTGCGCTACGTGGCGACCAGTGAGGTCGGATGTGAAGTCAAGGAGGCGTTTTTCGGGTTGAATGACAGACGAGCTCCTGCTGTTGAGGAGGACGTCTTGGGAGTGTTGGAGAAGTATGACTGCGTTCAGAAGCTCGTCGCGCAGACTTACGAAGGAACTGATGGGATGTCATCCAACTTGAAAAGGTTGCAGGCACAACTGGAAGACAAAGCACCCGAAGCTATGCGCTGTTACGCGCGCAAACCCAATCTGGTTTTGTGGCATTCGGCAAAAGGCATCCCTGCCTGTAGGCGCTTTTTAAAAACCGCGGACGGACTAGGGAGATTTTTTACAAAATCCGCAAAGCGCAGCAGCTTGCTGGATGATGTGGTCCAGCGACGGTTACCCGGGGCAGCGCCCACGCGATGGAGCTCAAATGCCACACTCTTGAAGGCAATCAGTAAGTATCAAGTTGATTTGTGCGCCGCATTGCGCATTATAAGTGAAAATCCCCACAGCTGGGACTGCGACACTCTCTTGTTGGCCACCGGATACGATCAGTGGCTGTCCAAAGCCTCCACGTGCTTCTTGCTCCTGGTTTACGAGGACATTGCCACTGAAACGGATGCGCTTTTTCGAGGGCTTCAAAACAAAACGATGGACGTTGAATATTGTCGCGAACGAATCCGCGACACACTGGGAAGCGTGGAACGCAGGAAACCGAAGTTTGACACTTTCAACGAGAGATTTGAGCAGAGATGTGCCACGCTTGGCCTGACGGACCCCGAAACTAAAACTGGTCATCAATCTCTCAGAGATGAAAGGAAATTGATGTATGATCAGATTCTGGACAATGCCAGTGTCCAAATGAGAACTCTATTGGATCATTTTGGCGAGCTTGCATTCCTTGAATTGGTTGACTGCTCAAAATTTAGTGATGTGTCGCAGATGTGTTTTTATGAGAGCAAAGTGCGGAGTCTGTCAAAATATGACCGGTTCTTTGATTTTGTGAGACTCAAGGCCGATCTGGTCGGACTGTGTTCTTCACAAACCGTTAGGAATGAATGTCAAACTCCCGAGGAGCTTCTCAGCTTTTTGGCCAAACAGGATTTGATCCAGACTGTGCCGGAGGCGACAAAGCTACTCCAGCTTGCCCTCACTTTGCCAGCTACAACAACGTCCGACGAACGGTCAGTCTCAACGTCGAAACGACTCGAAACATTTGCACGGAATCGCCCGGATCAAGGAAGACTTGGTTCACTGGCGACCATCGCTATGGAGACGGCGAGACTTTCCGAGCTGAAACAATCGGAGGACTTTTACAACCGAGTTACAGAGATGTTTATTCAGAGAGGGAAGCGCCCGGACTTCATCTACAAGTGATGGTAAGACGATGGAATGTGTTTTAATGGATTGGACTCAAATTCCTGATTTTTTTATTTTTATTTTTTTTGTCACATCACATACACAATAAATACACAACGGAAGCAATTAGATTTTCGCCAGTCACGCTCCACTTATGCAAAGAATGTAAAAGACTTTTAAAAAAGAGACATTTTAAATACTGAAGAAATAAATGGAGGGTAGGCCATTGTCATGCATACAAAAAACAAAACAACCCAAAAAAACAATCACAAATAAAAGACCTAAATTAGAATTGTGATGTGTAGCCTTTTGAATAAGTACGAAATTCAATGACTAACATCTGGAATTGTCATGCCCCTTAGTGCCAAACGTGCGTGAAAAGAAGGCAGACATGCTAGAGGCCCTAAGCTGACTTCAAGAGTCATATGTTTCTTTTCTTCTACAACTATTCAACGAGCCGTCCAAACAAAAACACCAACGATGACCCGAGCATCGTCTGTCTTCCGCCAGGTGCAGACGAACGCGTTCACCGTCATCTTCGACGAGAGGTTCTCGGTGGCGATTGACGTGTGCGCCCTGGAGGAGTGCAGCCTCCGTTTCGCCGCCTTCGGCATCGATAGCGACGAAAGGAACATCAGCGCCGGCGTGGCCGAACTCAAGCTGTCGGACCTGGACCTCACCATCAGACCCTTCAACGCCTGGCTCTACCTCCAGGATGTCAACAAAGTCAGTCGAGACTGTCATACAATCTCTGGTTGATAGCAGTAGTACTGTTGTAGTCGTAGTAGTAGTAGTACCGTATTTTCTGCACTGTAAGGCGCACTTAAAAGCATTCCATTTTCTCAAAAGCCAACAGTGCGCCTTATAATCCGATGCGCCTTATATATGGATCAATATTCAGATTTCTTGGACGATATATTTGAAATGTTCTGTAAAGTGCTTTGTTACAGCTACAGCGGTTGGGGAAAGCGCTACATAAATAAAGCTGCATTGTATTGTATTCCCTTTAGCGTAGCTCTCCCCAGTGGATGCATACCGTAACCGCAACCACAATTGTAGCTTCTATTCTATGTGCCTTATCATGCCGTGCGCCTTATATATGAAAACCTTTCTTTATTTGCCGTTCATTGTAGGTGCGCCTTGTGCTCCAAAGCGCCTTATAGTGCGGAAAATACGAAAATCAGAATCCAGGGTGCAACAAAATGGAAAAGACACAACCTGTCCAAGAAACTTGAGAAACAATGACCAATGGGAGTCCGCCGGGTCGCCTTTTGCCACGCCCCTTTTTCACAGTTGAAAAGAAAAACATAAAGGGGGGGGCGGGTTAATTAATTTATTTTTTTAATCTTCGCTAGGGCAAAAAAAAGCCATCATAATAAAAGACTGTGCATTACGATTTCATTAAATATTAACCATAACATTAAATTACGATCGGTATGTTTTTGTTTGGGGCTTTGCAGGAAATGCGTGAATACTAACATGTATCGTGTGTGTGACTGGACTTGTTTTAGGTTGTTGACGCTGTCGGGGAGATTCTGCTGTCTCTCAGCTACTTGCCCACGGCAGAACGCCTCACTGTGGTGGTGGCTAAGTGCAAGAACCTGCTGTGGACTGACGGCAAGAACACTGCAGGTTATGCGCACTTTGAATTTCTTGGAGGGGGGGGTTCTATTTAAACAAGTTGATGTCATTCAATCAATACATCACCGCAGATTGCACACGTGTATCGGAGATTTGGTGCTTGTCTCGGCATTCACGCATTTAATTGCAATAGCATTAACGAGCATGTTTTTTTTGTTTTGTTTTGTTTTTTTGCAGACCCGTTTGTCAAAGTCTACCTCCTGCAAGACGGGCGAAAGATAAGCAAGAAGAAGACCTCCACCAAGCGGGATGACACCAACCCCATTTTTAACGAGGCCATGATATTCTCCGTGCCGTCCCTCGTCTTGCAGGTCCGACGCTTGTTTATTGATATCAAGTGCCGAGTCATGCTTATGTAACGCTGATTTGTAAGCCTCTCTGCCCCCCCCCCTCCCTTCCCTTCCATCCAGGGCCTCTCTTTGCG